ATGACAATTAGTTAACATCTTGACATTGGTCTTAGTAATAGCTATTCCTTCCTTTATGTTAATATTGGGGAGTGTTACTAAGATGACAATTAGTTAACATCTTGATATTTACTATAGTAGGATTCATTTTCCTTAATATTCTTCCTTGAGTATTAATTAATTCCTATTCATATTTCATATTAATATTTTTGAACATTACTTAAAGGATCAACTAGTTTTGTTTCAAATATTAATTATTACTAGAAACGATCAACGAACCGATGGTTAATCGTTGATGGTTTCACCAGTAAGTAACTTCGGTTTATTAATGCACGGTCGTGGTTAGTAAACTTAAGAGGGATTAATTTTGTTGGTTAAACCGAAACCGTTGTGTTGAGGTTATCAATCTCAATTGATTTCATCAAGGAGTTAAGAGATTAAATGCTACTATCAAGTAGGTATATGGCGTTGTTCTATACTTGACTAATAGTAATGGTTATTAATGAACGGTCGTTGTTAATAACTTTCCTCGATCAATTGGATATACTCCTCGATTGAGTATTCGAGAGGAGATAAGTTATAGATATAACAATGATCGACTGAAATATATCAACAAGTGGAAAGTAGCAATGCCAAGTCATTTTTATCTTTGAATTAAATCACATATAACTCGTTCATCTTCGTGTTTAATTTAATTAAATCATTCAACCCAAAACCCCCCTTTATTTACTCCTTTCGTTAAAAAGATAAATTATTCCTTTCCCTGTGGATACGAACTCTACTTCACCTATACTACGTATAAGTGTTAGTTTTGAATTTATTTTGAGTGTACTCACGACAAAGTGCACGTCAATGAATCAGGAGGAGCGGGGAATGGACTATTTTTGATAATGGTGTGAGTAACATAATCTCTTAGACGCACCGAAGGCATGTGTGTGCGTTGACCACGACCTAAGTCAACAGTAGACTTCTGCTGAGAAGAAGCATGCGGTGTTGGGTCTGTGATTGCACTAGAGGGTGCCGCATCCTGGAATGTATTGGTAGAAGTATCTTCTGCATGTGACGCACTCTCTCCTTGATTAGATGGTTGCATTGTGTTATTGACACCAGAATATTCCAGGTAGAACGGATCATCATAGTTCGTAGATAGGAGCGGTTGGGAATCCTCTAGTGTATGAGAAAAATGCGTAGGAGAAGCAGAATCAAAGGGAAATATTTGCTCAAAAATTTTTACATCCCGAGATACGAAATATTCCTGAGTCTCCAGATCAAACACATGCCAACCCTTCTTCCCAAAAATATATCCCACAAATACACATTTTCTGCTTCGACTTAGAAACTTATCACTCTTGGATTTCATGTTAAATGCGTAGCATAGACATCCAAACACCCGAAGTAATTTATAGCACGGAGGAACACCAAAAAGAATTTCATAAGGAGTCTTATAATTATGAATCGCAGAAGGGGTACGATTGATAAGATAAGACGCCGTTAAAACACATTCTCCCCAAAAGGAGATAGGTAAACTCCCTTGAAATTTCAATGCACGTGCCACATTTAATATATGTCTATGCTTACGCTCAACACGCCCATTTTGTTGGGGTGTGCCAACACAAGAAGTTTGAAAAATGACGCCACTAGCACGAAAGAAATCTTTTAAGCAATTAAATTCTGTCCCATTATCACTTCTCACACGCAATATTTTCTTGGAAAATTGGCGTTCCACCATAGCAACGAAAGAAAGAAACATTTTGAAAACTTCCTTTTTATCAATAAGCAGATAAACCCAAACGGCACGAGAATAATCATCAACAATAGTCAAAAAATGCCTAGCACCACACGAAGAAGAGGTTTTATATGGACCCCACAAATCACAATGTACCATCTCAAAAATATCTTGAGTTTTATTCAAACTAATAGGAAAAGGATCACTAGTCTGCTTAGCTCTAAAGCAGATATCACAAGGAAAATTTCCAATATTCTTCAAACCACTTACGGGAGCCAAATGTTCAACCACTGGAGAAGCTGGGTGTCCCCACCATCGATGCCAAAGTTCTACAACATTCTGAGATTCTTTGACTGCCAATACACGTGCCATTTGTTCCTCCCGTAGGTAATATAGTCCATTCCTCCGTTCACCCGTTCCAATCAGCCTCCTCGAGGGACGGTCATGTATAACACACATATTACAAGTGAATTGAACGAAACAGTTAAGAGCATCACTCAGTTGAGATACAGAGATAAGATTACACTGCAACTTTGGAACAAATAACACATTAGTCAAAAACAAATCATTGGTAAATTGCACACTCCCTTCTAGTGTGGCTTAGATAGTTTGTCCATCAGGAAGCCCAACGATGCATGGGTCAACTGTTTTAGTATGACATAATAAGGCCCGGTTTCCACAAACATGATTTGTACCACCGGTATCAATAATCCAAGCATCATTATAAAACGTACCGGCCATCCGATCATTAGTAGTGAGCGAGTTACCAAACACAGAAATCAAAGAGTTCCATTGCTCAGTCGTGAACCCAGGTAGAGGAGCATCCGGACTGCTATTGCCTTCTCCATGGTGCTGCAATTTGGTCACACCTTCAGCAGCCACAGCAGCATGTTCTTTTGCTGCCAGTCTGCCGCGAGTTGCTCCAGAGTTGTTCGTTATTCCAGGATTGTTTGAGCGACCACGACCTCCACCTTTAATCCCGGGTCGGGGTCTATCGCCCCACCACTCCGGATAACCATGAAGCTCAAAACAGTTAGTAACTTCATGGCCGAAAAATTTACAGTAGGAGCACTGCAGTCCAGACTTGTCCGGCTTAACACCTCCGTCAGTGCCTTTTCCTTCAGCACGAACTGCAAAACCCAGTACTTCGGGCCTGTCTTCCTGAGCCTGCACTATCCCTCGTACTCGTTCTTCCTGTGCCATCTGTTGGTAAGCTCTGTTTAGAGTTGGCAATTTGGTCTGTGCCAACAATTGTGACTGTATGCCTCCAAAAAGATCAGTGTAAATGCCCATAAAAAATTGATGTAAATGTTCTGATTCCCTCCTCTTCTCATGTTGTCCAAGTACATCACACGTGCACTTGTTACATTTACACCGAATTAACGGTTCATAATTGTTTAATTCATCCCACAAAGTTTGTAACTTTGCGTAGTAAGTCCCGACGGCCATTCCTTTCGTCTGAATGCATTTAGCCAGATCCGTTTTAACCTGGTGTATTTTTGGACCATCAACAAGCGCAAACCTCTCTTTCAAATCATTCCACAATCGATGGGGATTTTCATAATATGACAGAGTTCCCTTGACTTCCGATGACATTACGTTCAGAAGCCAGGAGACGATCATGGAGTGAAGTGTAAGCCAATCCTCCTCAGTGCAAGGAGGTTTCGGCTCATTGATTGTTCCGTCGACAAAACAATATTTCCATCTCGCGCGAAGGGCCAGTCGCACAGCATTCGACCATTCTTCGTAATTATTGTTCGTGAGACGAACCAGAGTGATGAAATCACCCGGTCGGTCCTGAGGCCCCAAGAAATATGGAGAAGTATAATCAAATTTGGCTGCAGGTGTTGATTCGTCTTCTTTAGACATCCCTACGGACAAAGGAAAAATCGCTAGATTAACGCGGAGTCTCTGATACCATACTAAGGGAGTGTTTGCAACGGCTTCTGCTTAAAAAAAGCACTTTTGGAGATGTAATGAAAAAGTGATTAGTAGTAAAAGTTGATAGTGTTTGAGAAAAAAGTGATTTGAAAAGTAAAAGTTGATAGTGTTTGGTAAAATAAGTGCTTTTTGTGTAATAGAAAAGGGAAAAGCACTTTTCACACGCAAGCCGAGAAAAAGTAAAAATTGGAAGTGTTTGGTAAATAAGTGCTTTTTTAAGCCAAAAGTTGAGAAGTGCTTTTTTTTAAGCTATTGCAAACACTCCCTAACTAAGCGTTCGTACGCAGGTATGCTGAGAAAGAAGAAAAAAGTTACGATCTATTTCTCTTGCCATTATCTGCCAATCGGCCAATATATAAATACAATGCAATACCGAGTAAAAAGCATCCATATAAGGACTAAAAAATAACAACCAAATATAGATAGGATTCTAGCCATATTAAAATACTACATTTTAATACAATATCCGCTAAAAGTTAATAAATCATATCTCCCAATAACTTCGATTTTCTAATAATATACGTAGTATATAATAAAAATATTATGTATAAAATATTAATAAATTTGTATTAATGTAAATTTCAATTATATTAATTTTTTTTAATGTTTACTAATACGTAAATAACTATAATTACAGTCAAAGTTGCGCGTTGGCAAACGTGAAAATCAAACTGTTGCAACTTTTATGGAACAGAGGATAGTATTTTTTAGACATTTTACAAATGAAATATTTACTTATAAAAAAAAATCTATATTTACTTATTAAATGAACAACGACTTGTTAAGGTTCTGTAAGTTATAGAAATGATCGAGTCTTGAACGCGAGCGCAATTTGGTTTAGAATTGTGAATTTTAATTTGAACAATGATAGTATGCTTCATTATATTGTCATATTGAGCGGGAATTGCAGCAATACATGGAAAGATTCGATGGACAAAGGAGAGGTGATGGAGGATGTGGTTGACTAATTAATTTGCAACGCTTCTTTTTCAAAATATAATGCTCCTAATTAGTTTAGCTAGTGTAAATCTATGAATTTAATTATTTTCGTATATAGAGCATGTTCTTAAGGATTGGAGGTCTGTTGCAGTCTTGCAGAAGCACTATAGATAAAAACGCACGTTTTTATATGACACAAGTGATAAAAGTCAGGCGTGAATATTGAAGCTGCATATATGCATGGAAATACAACAACGCATACTACGTATATAGTTGACCTTGAGCACTACATAAGTATTCAAATCAAGGTTCACCTAATTAATATATATTAGGAGTCGGGCTATTATATATATATATATATATATATATATATATATATATATATATATATATATTAATAAAAGATCAAGAAGCTAGATCAATCACTACATGCCGCTTTTATAAATAAACTTCCCGGGGCAAGTGTCGGGCAACAAAGAAGGACATGGCTTGGGGAGGTCGGCGGAGTAATCAAAGCAAAGCCAGACCTCCTTGAGGTAGAGTTCCTGTGTCCCCGCCTTCACTTCACACCTCAGGTTTGCGTGGCATTCACCAAGAACATGACCGCGTTCAAGAACTTGCCGGGCTGCACTCCATTTGGACCGGGAGTGATGCCATCCTCCGTAAGAGACGCTTTTACATCGTACATGTCGTGCAGAGCCAATGCCACCGTGAAGTAATCTACCTGCCCCAGCAAGCCCGTTGATATCGATCACCCCATGTTTGTTATACTCATATGCCCAGAAATCTTCGTTTGCCTTCCCACTCTCGTAATTCGGCCACTGCTCATCTAATGCATTTCTCAAATCTCCAACAATCTGCAGTCACATAATACAACACACAAAATAACCATGAGTAATATACTATAACGAAGTAGCTAGGTTATTCGGTTTAAAAGTTTATAGCTAGCTAATTAATGGATATACATTTACATGTACATGAATTCTAGTAATTAATTAAAGTAGCTAGCTAGCTAACAATTCAATTCACTGGCCGGGACTAACCAGAGCTGGGTCATATGGGACGGCACCCGCGGGAATTGGAGGACTCTGATCCGTCTCATTGAAAGGCCACATACCGTGAATCGTGAACTCATCTTTAATCTTTGCAGCATCGCAATTCCCGGTAATTGTGCAGTAGCCCGGAGACCAGAGCAGGGCCAACCGAAAGCCAACCCATGGCCATGGCGAAGAGGGTTCAGGAGTTGGGCAATTGTTAGCAGCATGGACGACGACGACCGTGATGAACAGGATGAACATGAGCGGCACTGCTGGACTTGTCTTCATATTTTGTCTTTAACGTTAGCTAGCTAGCTCGTCAATTGATAGATCAACCAAGCTCTATATGTCCAGTGAATTAATCGAAGCATCCATCGATCCCCTCCTTATATAGGCATGCATCATATACATGCGCCGCGTTTGGCTTGTCTTCATATTTGGTCTTTGAAAATTTATAATATACGTACTCCGTACGTATTTGTACGTTGATGATGAATAAACCACCAAATTCCAGTTTGCTTGTTAGTCTTTGTTACGTTATACACAGAGAATCTTATGAACCCAAATTTATGTTGACCAAAATGTGTAATTATTGGAGCAATATGGTAAAACAAAAGAGGAGGGAGTTGGGAGGGACCAATTCGTTTTCTAGCTCGTAAGGGGCTAACGGCCATATCCATCAACTGACCAATAACGTGTGGCCTGTTTCTTTCTTCTCAAACAAATATTACCACTGAAAGCTCATTTATAAATTGCCTACAATAATAAATAAATAAAATGTACCCGTAGGACAATAAAAATTAAAAAGAGATGCAGTGAACACTACTGAGTACTGATCCGTGAGTTCCCAAAATTCAGAATGCTAAACACATACTCCCTATCATTTATTAATTGGCTACAATAATATACGTCGTATAAAATTTATTACACACACATATACATACATACATGTATGTATGTATGTATGTATGTATGTATACCATGAAATTGGTGTTAATAACCTGAACTTAGCATATCATATAAAAGTTATCGATGCAAGATGATTTTATGACGATAGTCACATACCATTAACGAATTTATAAAAAGTAAATCCCAATTATATTTTCTATAGGCTCGTTTTTGTGAATCGAATAATAAATAAAGACTACTATTATATATTTTCCATTAACGAATAATTAATAAACTTCTCACTTTTCTAATTATTTGGTGATTTGGATATTTAAAAATAATTGATTCAACTGCAAAAAAGAAAAAGAAAATTTTAACATGTAGTACTAGTAGTAAATATCACAACTACCCTTATTTTATATAAAATTTATATAATTTTGTAACAAATTAATCGAACTCATTAATTAATCGAAACAATTAATAAAAGGTGCGTACATCAAATTAAATAGTTTGATTGAAGTTTGAATTAAGTATAATATGGTTAATTTTGTTTAAATGGAAAATGTATACTAACATGCATCTTTTTGTAATGAATAGCCAAAACTTTAGTATGGCTAAATTAAGTTTTATGATAAAAAGATTAAAGACTAATCCTATTGGGCATAATGATTTAATTATCATGACAAAAAAAGGGGTACGTAGCTACCGGAATATTTTTTAATGAATGCTTCATTTATTTTTCCTTCTTGTGAGCATGTGAAAAAAACTAACAACACTTCATTACAAATGTCAAATAATATACTCCGTGTAATTTGTAGTGCTCTTTTAGTAAATGGTGAGAACTCCGGTACCCATTGAAAAAATGGGGTACCGTACCTACCATTCACTTGATTGGTCCACATAGGTATATCAATTTTAATTTAAACTTAAATAATTCAACTGCAATATTCTGATTGGTCCATGTGGACAAAGGTACGGTACCTTTAGAATACCATAGAATCTACCTTAGTAAATTTATTCAATGATCAATTTAAAAAAGGTGAGTACGGTGCATGCGGTTCCATGTCATTTTCTGAAGTTCTAATTTAAGAGTTCTCCCATAACAATTTTATGGCTAATTTCACACTACTCATTACGTTGTATCAAGAGGGCGATTGAAATAACTTCTAGAGCTGGATTCGGTTCATGAAGGGGTGTGCACCGGTTCAAAACCGGACCGAACTGGACCGAACCGGACCGGAACCGGAACCGGATTTGTAAGAAAATGAAAATTGAAAACCGGACCGGATATGTTCCGGTTTTGATCCGGAACCGGACCGGTTTTACCGGTTTAAAACCGGAACCGGACCAAAAGAACCGGTTTCTAAATTATTAATTTAAAATACTAAAAAATACAACTAATTTGTTTAATAAAAATGGGGTATTTGTTACTAATAGTATTACTATTACTACTATTATATATTTATTTACTTTCTTACTCTTATAGACCAAAGATTTAAGCAATTTGAGGGTAGAATAGTAAATATTAGTTAATTCTATTATAAAAAACTAAGAATATATAGATGAACAAAACATTAGGAAAATATATACTACATATTAAAAATATTACTATTTATATTTTTATAACTATCATTAGTTTTTATTATTCCATGACCATTTTATATTAAGACTATTAATTAATATATTAAAAAATATAGCAAACCGGATTAATCCGGTTCAAACCGGAATGATCCAGTTTTTAACCGGAACCGGACCGGAAACCAGATTTACAATATTTGAAAACCGAAAACCGGACCGGGTATCATCCAGGTTGGTTCGGTTCCGGTTTTTTTGGTCCGGTCCGGTCCGGTTTTCCGGTTTGAACCGGTTTGTGCACACCCCTAGGTTCATGTCCCCAAACCGGTTCACTGTATTCCCGTACCGACCCAATATTTTAATTTACAATAATTTGACATCAACTGAAACCGAACCGTTGTAAGAACGGGTACCGATTTTTGGTACCAGATATTTTGGTTCGGTTTACCGGAAACTGAAAAAACCAACTCAATTGTAATGCGTTGTACTCCCTCCGTCCTACTAACAATGGGACAAGAGGGCGCACTACGCCATTGAAAATGTCCAAATTGGCAAATAACAACCAATCCCTTATACATGACTTATACTAGTAATTAATTAATAAGGGAATAGTCTTACAGGGCTCAGGGGTTAAAGTTAAGGCGGTTAGGATTGCGTTTTGCTACTCCATCTATCTGATTTGGGAACCCGGAATGCTACATGCTTTGATGGCCTTATTCCCAAAGAAGAGGTTGTGTTTGTTAGGATCCGGTATATGGTTTATAAGATCCTGTATAACCTTTATCCGCATGAACTTGTAAATTTTTGAACTCTTTTTGCTACTCATACCCTGCGTTTTTGGGCTGGCCATTAGGACGTAGCTTGTTGATGCTTTCTGCTTTTGTTTTGTGCTAGACCACCACGGTTCTTTGTGTTCGGCCTTAGCTTTTGTTTATTGTGTTTTCTTTTCTTTTTTGATGGGGAAGGGTTATCCATGTTGGATAACCTACACTTTTTTTTCCCTTTGGTTTGTACATTCTGAACATTTGTATTCTTTGGATGTTATTTATATACTTACATTTCATCCAAAAAAATAAGGGAATAGCCCCTTATCAAATCCCTTATAAAACTTCTCCTTATTTCATGTGAAATAAGGGCCAATATCCCTTATTAGCGGAATGAGGGATTAATATGAGATTATGTCCACATGGAGGAGAGAAGTAGTCTTTTTTATATAACCAACTAATAAGGGAACCTCCCTTATTAACATTGTAATTAGTAAAATATGTTTTTCTGTATAAATCTTTATACGTATTTGATTTGATGAGAATGGTCAATGTACATACTATCGTATTTGATAAAATTTATACATCCGTCATCACTGGTACATTTGTTTTTTTGAAAGTACTGGCACAATTATTATTATTATTTAATAATGAATAAAAAGTACATTAATTATCAATTAACTAGATATACAAGCTAATATTTTCATAGCAGCGAAATACAAGAAGTGTTACAAACAAAATTGAACATAGTGATTGTGAATACAAGAATTTTAACAAATCTTGATTTTCAGGAGAATCTAATTCTAAGACATGAAGTTTTACAAGTCTGAAAATTGTAATGACTAAAGGTACACCACACCATCTATTATCTCCTCCCGAATCTTGATTATCAAACATTGGATGCTGAGAAGAGTCGAGTGTCATAAACATCTTTCACCTGTTGATGAAGTCTGAAAGTATACTTCCTACAAAATGAATTACAAACAAGATTTTAAAAGAAGTCTTTAATGATGTAAAAGTTCCATGTAGCACTTGGTATTGTACATCTTACCATTATTACAACGAATTCATTTAGTAGTGTTGGTAGAAAATATCTCGGGTAGTGATACACTTGTAATTTCCGTGTGTATGTTTATGTTTTTAGCTAGTTTTGGTTGTTTAATATTTCGGAAATTACACACTTTTGGTGTAATAGTTTAGTTTGTTAAATCCCTGTAAATTGTTTAGATTAGGATTATTCTGAGCTCAAACAGGTCTACTATCACTCAAAGGATGGTTGGTGAACCCCAAAAGTGGAAAGAAGGTGCAAATCACAAGACAAAAAGGGAAAACCCTGATTTTTGCCTATACTCGGTCGAGTATTACCTACCTATACTCGATCGGGTATAAGGTTGAAACTTCAAGTCAGATCGGATCAGAAGACAAAAGAACATGCCGGGAAGATTTTGACCACGATTCAGTGTCTATACTCGATCGAGTAGACCGACATACCCGATCGAGTATGCCTTTGAGTTTAAACCCGAAATCGGTCGAGTATGGCTCGAATATCACTTTCTACACATACTCGACCGAGTATGAATATATACTCGATCGAGTACACCTTTGATTTTTAAGCCAAAATCGATCGAGTATACCTCGAATCTGGCATTTCACACATACTCGATCGGGTACTATGTGTATACTCGATCGAGTACTCGAGTCCCATCCCAAAAGCCTATAAATACACCCTCTTTCCTTCACAATAGATCACCAATTCACATATACTTCTTAGCTCAGTTTAGACAAGTTCTTTCTTTATATTTTTCATCATGTTTAGTCTCCAAATGAGGAGCTAAACTCTTCCATCTTGGTTTTGCTACTTTGAAGCTTAATGATTTGTAAGTTGTGAGTTATTTTTCTTTAATCTTCTTCCTTGAATATTAATTCTTCCTTTAAATACTATTTCTATATCAATGTTGGGGAGTGTTACTAAGATGACAATTAGTTAACATCTTGACATTAGTTATAGTAATAGCTATTCCTTCCTCTATGTTAATATTGGGGAGTGTTACTAAGATGACAATTAGTTAACATCTTGATATTAACTATAGTAGGATTCATCCTCTTTAATATTCTTTCTTGAGTATTAATTGAATTCCTAT